ATATAACATATGTAAAATTATGTATATATATATATAAGTAAATTTATCTTAGAAATAGAAATATAATTTTAAAGATAAATTTAATTTGAATTAATATATAATATAAGTTATATGTAAAGTTATTTTATTTAGTTAAGTATATAATATAGTATATAATATAAGCATGTAATGTTATCTTATTAAGTTTCTCAATGATAAGTAATCTAACACATATCTGAAGAATATAAAAAACTCAAACAAACATCAGTAGATTTATATCTTACTTATATATGATTGAATTTAGATGTTAATATAATTATCTATCCATATTCATTCTGATAAAATTTATAACAATAAGAAGTTTGAAAAAATCTTTATAATAATATAATGATAATGATAATGAATTTTTTAAATTATAATATAGAAAATTAAGCAAAATTATAATAGTTATTATAATTTGCATACCTTCACAAGTTCCTTTAATCGTTCACGATTATACACATTACCAATTTCTTCTCCAAGAAGGAAATCCAGAAGTTTGCTAATAGGATAACTCAATGGAAATGTTATTATCATAGTTAATTTTGTAATATAAATTGTTTTTGCTCCAATACATAATCCATGTCTACTACAAATAGCCTAAAGTTATAAAGCAATTTATCTATTATTTATTTATCAAATTATTTGTAATTATGAAACATTTTTATAGATTTAGTTTACTTACTTGTGGCGAAATTTCACCAAAAATCACAATAGCTAGAGTAGAGCAAATAACTGCAACTAATCCAGAAGTTAAATCATCTAACAAAATAGTGAAAATTGAATTCACTAAAACATTGGAGAATAAAATTGAACATAACAAATAATTTCCATGATTTCTCACTGGTTGTATTGTTCTTGCATATTGTTTTTCCTTTAATAAATAAATCATTATTAAATTATCAATTATTAAATTATTATAAAATTATATGTATTAAACAAAATTTATTGAAATATTTAGGAAGGAGCATTTGCAGAAAAGAAATACCTTCTCTGTTCCAGTATTACAAAGTATCTTCAATTCAGTTCTATCCATTGCCATTAGTCCTAAATTTAAACCAGAAAATAGAGCAGAAAAAGTAAGACACATGAGTATAATTAAAATACTAAGCCAAAGTGGCAAAAATTTTTCATATGTGTATATCTGTAAATAAATATTTCTAATAAATTTTTCTAAAATAAAATAATTTTTAATATAATTTCATCTTTATTATATTTTAGTACTCACAGTATTCCATGTTTCTGTTCCTTGATGTTTAAAGAGTAGAAGATTTGGATTTTCCTTTTCATATATTGGTTGTTTTACACATATGTAAAAAGGTGAACCAAGAGGTAATACTACATCAATAGTTGCAGTATTATTTCTTACATTTTTTACCTATTATAAATCATATTTTAAAGAAATTATTTATTGTTATTATAAGAAATTATTATTAAATTATTATAATTACATATTTTTGCTAAAAAATAAATTGGAAATGCTTACTAGAAATTCATTGCTTTTAATTTTATCACAAATAGTGCCTCTTTCTGCTTGTTCATCAGTGAAAGTGATTAAAGTATCTTCTGTGAATCCAAAACCAAATAACCTTATAACTGTTTTAGTTCCAGCAAGTATTTCTGGAATACCATCTTCACTATAACTAGGATCTTTTTCTGATGTTTCTATTCTCAATCCTTCAATAAATACATCTGTATGGATTTGCTCAGTCAATAGATTTTTGGGATCATCATTGACAATGCCTAATAAATTTGCACGACGCATACGAAAATATTTTCTGGGAATAATTGATACAAAAAATGAATTAAATTAATATTTATTTCAAAAAAAATAATAACAAAATTAAATTAAGGAAAAATTTTTAAATAAATTTTAAATAAAGTTTATTTTGCAAAAATTTATTATTTCTGAAATATAATTATATTATTTTAATTTTAATTAAAATAATAGATGTTTATATATTATATATTTAGAATTATATATTTAATGTATCTAATATATAAGCAAAATATTACTCGGAAATAGATTAAAATGAAATTACTTATTTATTTTTTAATTAATTTTTTACGCAATTAATTAAAATTATTTATATTTAAATATTTAAATATAAAACCATTAATAAAATAGAATAAAATATCTAATCTTTTATAACGTTGCATTATAATAAAGAAATTATATTTAATATTTATAATTATAATATTTTATAAAAAAATTTCTAAGTCATTAATAATATCGAGATTTTCATTTTGTTAAAAAATAAATACATATCATATAATAAATGTCTATTATTTATAAAAAAAAAAAATTTTCTTTTAAATGATGGATTGGATAAGAATTCAAGTTATCTAATATTTAACTTACTCTGATTGTATTGGGAATCTGATAGTAAAATTGCTTCCAAGATTGGTCCATATTTCACCGACGACTTTTAGACAGAAATAGATTGTGGTAACCTTAAAATTAGGAACCTTGACAAACTTATATATCGCACGACTACCATTTGGTGAGATCCAAACTGCACTTAATTTGTTTTCCGAATCGCAATTGTCAAATGTATGTGACCAACGTAATGAAACATTATTTTCAAGACCGGTGCCAAGAACTTCAATCAAAAAACCTGAGGTGGTAGATACATTTTCGCGTATGTAAGACTGTTTTTTAATAAAGACATCCACTGATTTGACACTTAAATTATTAGATATTTTCAATTTTGTAAATGCATTAACGTTTGCTAAATTGAATGTCACAAAAATAAGTAATAAAAGAGCTGCCGGTGTGCTTGAGCGAACAACATGTTGCGCCATCATGCGACAAGTGCACCGTGACAACTTCATAAAATCGTCAAGTAGTACTGCATTTATAATCTCATATGTTCGTATTACGCTTGCGCGTTATCATAGACTAATTGTAGCGTAGATTTAACATCTCATGAAATTTAATGAATATTATATTAATTGAAATACTGATTTAAAAATAAAAAATATAAATAATATTATTGTATTTATAAAATTTTTATTGTTTTTGTTTGTAAAATCAATTATTCATTGAATTAATAATATTAAAAGAAATTTAAGAAGAGAACACGTAAGTTTCCAAATTATATATTATAAAAATGCATGTCTAGATTTATCTTTAGTTTTTTTAATATCCATAGATATCATAAACAATATTAAAAACTGATTATATTTAATTATCATTTTTTTCGTCTTAATATCTCTCATTCTATTCTGAATTAATAATTTCGCATATAATTCGAAAACTATGAATCTTTTGAATCAAAAAAATATGACACAAAAATATATTGGATGATAAATCTATTTTATAGCTAATCTATGGTATTATTTTTGTCTTGGCGGGAAATAATAATTTGCCATTTTATATATTATGTTTATTGTCAAAAATTTTGATAGGTTTTGAAAAAATTTTATAAATCTTACTATTTTAATGTTATTTAATGATATTTTAGTATTCAATTTATTTTATTTTTATTTTATATAATGCCGGGTTAGTATTATTTGATTAATTAAATCATAAATTATTATTTATAAATTAAAAGGGTTATATTGAAATATTAATGGATTAAGATTATTCTTATATTATTTAACTTTTTAGCAAGATATCCATCTGTTCAACAAATGATAGTTAATGTTATTAAAAGATTTAAATTTGAAGATTTAGAATCATCTGTAATACCAATTTTTCCAGAATTATCATGGACTGATGTAAGATCAAAATTGGTTAAAAATCATAAAAATTTTACATCAGTTAATGTAGCACAAATTGTTAAAATAGTTATTACTGTAAGTTTTATATATAAATGTCATGGTTTTACCAGTGTTATTTATTGTTATATATTGTTATATATTGTTATATATTATTTTTTTTATTTTATTTATATTAGGAAGCTAAACTTCAGAAGAAAATTTTAAGAGATCGATTATCAATATTACAATTAATTGGTAATATACATATATGAGTGTGTACATATATATATAAAATTTATTTATATATATACTTTATTTCATAGCAAATAATAAAATTTATACTTTTCAGATATAAGTTGGCATAGTAATAAAAAAGTTTGGTATGGTTACACATTAATAGGACCTACAAAAGTTACAAGTTATATCATAAATAGAGAAATTCAAAATATTATGCAAGATCATTTTGATTCATTAGGTATGAAAATTAATGTAAAAATAAATGCACACAATGGCATTATATATGTTTCCTTAACTGAAAATAAAACCAAGAAAGGAAAAATTCAATATACAATTCCAATTTTTTTTGCTTTATTTGTGGGACAAAAATATTTTTTTTCTACCAAAAAACAAATTTCATCTGAGATTTTAGAAGCAATAGTAAAAAGTTTGGGTTATACAGATTCTAAAAGATTTAAATTAATGGGTAGAGATCTTAAATCATTAAGTGAATTATGTTGGAAAAAAAAAGAAGGAACAATGAATTCTGAAAATATTAATAAAATATTAATATTTAAAGATGGTTCTCCTGATAAAAAGTAAGTTTCTTTAAATTATTTTTAGATAGATAATAAAAATTTTTAAAAAAATATTTCTTATTTCATATATTTTATACATTTTAGAGAGACAGGTATAGATTTTACTCAACAAAAACAACGGAAAAAATATGCCGAAGCGTGTTTTGGTGATAATCCTCCTATTTTAGAAGTTCTTGTTGTAAATGGACATAGTATACCTTTATCACATAAAGATATATTGGCAAAATTACCAAATGAAAATATAGGTGCAACGTGAGTTCTATTTAAATTGAATATATAACATATAACATAGCATATAATATTCCAATTAGAATTATAATATGATACAGTATTCTATAATTCCAATATAATTATGATTTTATATGTATTTAAATATATTTCAGATGGGAATTTCGTAGTCATAACATTGTTGCATGTTTAACAAAATTAATAGAACGACGTATACTTATTACACCTGTACCTTATTATATATCAAATTTATTGACATTAGGAAAAAATGAATTAATCCTTAAAAATGATTGACAATTTAGGGTCAAATGTCATATAATACTAGCATAATGTTAATGCAAAAATTATCTAATTTAATGATTATATAATTATTTAAATTTTAAAAGACAAATTGATATTACATTTTCTTATAATATTTATAATTTAGTGTGTGCAATTAATCAATTTTGAAATAATTGTTATGTACAATTTAACATAATTTTTATTGAATTAATAGTAAATAGAGTATTATATATAATAATAGTAAATAGAGTATATATATTATTCTTTTTTTAAAATCATTTTATATTAAAAAAAAAAAAAGATAAAGAATATG